AGTGAGCATTTTCTGATTTATCGACACCAGTCAAATTCAATGTCAAAGGTCAATGTAACACCTTCTCAAACTCAACATGGTTTTCTTACGAGATTAAACGTTATATCTTTGCTTACCTTCGCGTAAACAGTCAGTGTCATTTTCATTCTTTTCTCTTGATTTTCTACTTAGAAAGAGACATAAAGCACAAAAGGGATCCGCTGAATCTGTCATGATCTTCACGTCAGAATCGAAGAGTTTGCAAAACAATATCATAAAATACCTAAATTTAGTTCAATTCCTACTAAAAAGAGCATTTTTGGAACAGACCTTTCTTCTTTCGTTCGTTCTCGGGACACCTGGGAATACCAGGAAAGAGGGGCGCCTTGTGTTTTGTTACAATGTGTATTTAGTCATAAAATTAGGTACAAATAGGCATGATCGCAAGTGCCACAAATAATACCACGGATAAGTTGTCATTTTTCATCATTTTGTGATTGTATTTGATACGTGTTCTTTTGCTTTATAGGTTTTAAATATATTTTACCAAAATCTTCAACAACCTTATCTTTAGATTTTGGACGTGAACTCATGTAGTTATACAAATGAGCTGGCTGTTTCAGTGAACGTAACACACCTACATGCGGGTCCGACTAAGACCGGAACCACGTTGTGTTTAGCTGTACCAAGAGCCAAGTCTCATGTCTAACGAAATCCCAAGCAAACAAAGCCTATTTCCGCAGTGCCGTTCTTCCGATAATGTGTTTGTGTAGAGTATCTGAAACGATTTCAAGGTATGTTGCTTTAACCCCAAATCCGCACGTGCAAACGAATAACTGAATGGCACGTGGCTCATTATATTTCTGAAGTCGGGGGAGGAAACGGCTGTCTATCGACAATGCGCACAATTGGCATGCAAAACACGTGCATTAAAAATTTTAAACCAAAAAGAATGCAATTTACGATGTTTTATTTTCAAATTCTAATAGGTAAAATACATAAACGTTCCCATTCAACAGAGTGCATTTCCGAAAATGAGTTCAAGAAATACACACTGGAAGTAAAAATAATAACTTAAATAACATATTATTTTCTGATTGAAGTGAGTGCAGTTAGACAATGTTACGAAAAGATCATACTAGAGTAATACCTGATGAGAAAATGCTATAAAGAAAATTGTATTTTGACAAGTTTAAATTCCGATTCTGGCTGTTATTGTTATTACACCGACAAAAGTCTATTTTGACAACTTCAAATTCCAATCCTGGTTGTAATTGTTATTACACAAGCAAGCAGTGTCAAAGGGCTATGCGTAATATTTTGTTAAGTTTCTTAAGTTAAACCGTTTTATTGCACAAAAATAAACGTCGAATTTTGGACAGAGCATTTTAGTAAACATAAATGCATCTGATTACAAAACGTACGAAACAAAAAATACTGACTTAAGTGAAAATGTATTACCAATCATATCGTTATTTGTCTATCGCTGAATTTAGCGGACATCGCACGTGTCTAAGTACTTCCATGCTATGATGTGGTGAATATTACATTTGTAAGATAAGCTGAATATTATAAACAGAAACGGATTTCATAAGGGAAAATCTAATTGTAAAATCAAAAACCAATATGAAAGAAGCGAGACATTTTCAAGGCGTTTAGACAGATTTATCATGATTTAGAAATACGGTTGTTATTTTCATGGTTGTGATTCTTTCATGACAGGTGTAATCGATGAGGCAGAAGATGCTAAACCTTCTGAAACATCTGGTGTTACCCACTGTACTTTCAGGAGTCTACGTGTAAATCTTGTTTCACATAGAATAACTGAATCTGAGTTTGAATCAAGATTTTGGTGACATGTTGACATCTTCTTTCCTTTTAATGTTGAGAGAAGAAATTTAACAGTGTAATGATGTTGTTGGTGCTCTGATGAAAAAACCAAAACTGAAAGAGCCATATCCTATGTTGAACAAGGAAAACACATTCTTTGTTATAGAAGAAATGAGGAAATATGAGGACAAGCGTGTAAATGTAAGGGATGGTTTGACGAATAATCGGTTGATATGTTGATAGAGACACATACCAAGAAAAAATATTTGTTATTAGTTATTAAACTATTGTGGTAAACATAAGGTGAAATTTATGTTGGTATCATTAATTGCATTCTATCAATTGATTATCCTCCAATGCATAGTTTCATTAGAAATATCAATAAAGATTTGATATTTATTTTTTTTTCCTACGTGATAAAAATGTTTGGTGGCCATTTGTGGAATGAAATTAGGGTTAAAAACCGTATTATTCTGCCTGATGAAGGGACAGATAAACTTTGAGTACGCTGATTTAGAACTTAGAGATATTGTCAAAGAATTAATGAATGGCTTACATTTCACGACTTTAATACAAGGAAACCATTCCATAATGCTTTACTGTGATATTATCTTTTATTCGGCAAAACATAATGACTTAAGAAAACTACGGAAGATTTACATTTATTTATGTCATAGACCCTTCTGTAACAAGTAAACAATTAAGATTTTAAAAAGAAATGTCAACCTTTCGTTTTATCATAACATTTTTGCTATAACCGAAAGGACATAATTGAAACTGGAAAGTGCAATACTATACTCGTTATCACATTTTCAGCGATGAAGTAATATGATTTATAAATGAAATAAGATTATATATACTTGAGGGTTAAAACATTACAAAAACTATAATTAAGCGATATCATCATATGGACGTATAAGAAAAATCATTTGAAAAAAACAACGAAATCAAACTACGTGATACCAGTATTAAGTAACTGCTATAACCTTCCCAACCTTAAGTCCCTTTGATCAAAACAACTGTATCGTGTCCTGGTTAACATTGCATTTTCATAATAAGTTCAACGCATTTGCTGAAAATGGTTATTAGAACACTTCGTCTAGATTTCTTATTTTGTGTTTCGTAATCTTCTTGAATTACGTAAAGCCGTCTACAGATGTGACTATTTTCAGTGCTATGTATATGAGAGAGCAAAATCATAGTCATCATGTGGTTGTGCTATGTATTTTTAAATATGTTCTCATGCATTCAGGCACCATCATTCATGTAGCATCTGAAGCTACCAGCAAATTCAACTCGATCGGCCATGACTATTGCTGAAAATGACAAAGACAAATATTGTATAACATTTGGAGAAAGGATAGAGAACGAAACGCCTTATCGCGAATATTTCTTGTTCTGTGTTTGTTAGGACCCACTGAATCAATCACTTTATGTTATTTATATCATTTAAGCTAATAGCATTAATATTTGAATTTCCACACACGTAACAACTCTCTAGATTCACAGAAGCACTCCTGTCTCAAAAGCTTTAAATGGCACAATTTAGTATTTTGAATGGCGTCTCGGAATGTCATCACCTTCAGCAGTCAAGAAGTCAACAACCGGATGTTTACTAGGCATAGTAATCACCCATTACGGTAAGAAAAATACTGACATTTTGCACCTGTCTAAATCCACCCCATATATATTGTTAAAACTATGAGAGCTGTCAGGACTGTAAATGAAACAGAATCCCAGTCTCCCATTGGCTGATTTGGCTGCGCGAGTCCTTCAATAAATCACAAGTAAAAAACAATTATCATTATTTTTTCCTGCTTTGTTCAAATTTTGCTTTTTCAATTATGATTTTTATAGTCCTGAGCTTGTTGTTGTAATTCAACGCTAGTATTTATTTTTTCCTTTTTTTGTTTATCTATTTTGTTGACGTTAAATGACCTGTGTATAATACTATTAATTATATCTTTATCTAATGTGGTCTTGGAGTTTCTGTGTGTAACTCTCTGGTTTCTTCGATTTCCTAATGGTTCTTTGAGACTGGTATATCAATTTGTGAATCAACATTTTCTACATTTTTATTATGATTAATTATAACACATGGTATCTATTTAGCTTTTCATTTTAACAGTTATATCATATAGCAATACAGTATGAATATGAAAATAACAACAAACGATACTTGTCCGGTTCTTAACTCTATGACTGTAGTAATTATACGATGATGCACCTACTTAATCGCCTTCGAAGTTTCAAAAACATAGCTGACGTTTCCTGAAGGACTTAACAGCTTTATTATTAATAGTCCTGATCTAATTTTAATTTAGAGTTGAAAAGTGTTTTTTTTTCATTTATATGTCTTTTGTGTAATCTTATAAAAGGCATGTTGAATGATAGATGCGCAGTAAAAATTGCATATTACCTAGAGGTGACAGTGTGGATATAATGATACGACGTCAAGACGTGAGCGCACGGTTGTAAAAGTATACTACTGTTGGAATTATGAGAGAGAGCACGAGGCTACATGTTTCACCACTACACACCACTACAACTCTCTGTTTAAATGTGTTCATTGATACTCTCGCGCTCCACAGCGACTGTGTGAGCTTCAGCTGCCTACCACGCCAGCCATTGGCCAGGATAGTCTAATGTGTACACAGGAATACCTGCACTTGCTAACTTTAACCGTAAGGTATATACACACACAGGCGTGGGTTCATTTTATTACTGTTCCACATGTAAACACACTATCGCTTGTCTGAGTTCTGTTACTGAAAATTGTCACGTAAAGCTTGACATGGATACACAAGTTTGATATATATCGAAAAAAATGTAAAGTTATGCTAGATACGAAATCAGCATATTAGAATTTTTATTATGGTTTTTACATTAACATATATAGAATTGAAGTGAAACGTAAAATTCTAACATTCTCTGCAAGACATCTGTTTTCAGTGCTGGAACTATCTAAACGCCATATTTAATGTACAAATGATAATAAAAAAGAGAAAATTCGGAGGATATAGCTCTGCAGTGGTTTATTGTGCGGATGGTTATATTTTCACATGGAAAATGTGGCGGCTTTGTGATGTTTGAGGATCAAACCATTGTGAAAGCTTGTCTTTAACACCTGCTTTGGATTTTACCCGTGCTTTTCGCCTTCTTTGATAACGTTACTTTTGGAATAAAAAACGATGGAAACTGTACCTCTGTTGCTACTTTTCGTATTAGTTATTTTAAAGACAATTCCCGTGGAAATGTCCTCTTATCAGGATTTCCTTGACCTTGGTGACGACATTGATGGGTATTCAAACCTGAGCACCAATGACGAGGTAAGTATTATATTTATTATCATTAAAGAATCATTTTAGTGCATTGTGTTCAAAAACAAAGCGTAATATTGACCACTGAAACGTGGCGTGACTATTCGCATCCTACTAACTGGTTATATGGTCTAAACTGGTTACAACCATGTAACATACTGTATGTTCATTTTTTTTATTTCAGTTAACATTTCCTTTCTCATGAAGCAAGTACTAAGGAATATATCGATATACATAATAATAACGTTAGTGATATATAATTTCTATTCTTTAAAGAATTAGAATTTGAAGTATGGTCTATGTAGCATAAATGAGAGTGTTCATGGATTGTACAAAATCCACACAGCTTACAATCAAGTTAGTCATTAATATACTACAATGTTGAGTTATCAGACACGAAAGTGAATAACACCATACAATACAAATCATGAATGAGAGAGTAGTAATATAATGAACCTATTCATAATACAAGATAAGCACATGCCTAATGTTCAATGACTACAACTTCCTACATGCCCAAAACTTCTAAAAATCTTCAGTGAAGTTCACAACCAATTTCTTTTCTAAATATGGAAAAGTAAACTTTGATGAAGATATTGAAAAGGACTGGCGGTAAATGTTGATCAAATGACAATTCATAGAAAAAAGTTTTTATTCCGAACCGAACTGAAAGAATATAGACCCGGCTTGCAGGTAACAGCTAGCCTTCGGACCCTGTAGATCTTCTAGCAGAGCTTAAAACCAAGTTATATCACTAAAAAGTAAAAGAAAGCCATTATATGATGAAGTTGATCAGTATATACTCATAACCGTTCAAGAACACACTGTTCATTAGTGTCATCGATTATCAAAAAGTTGACAAAACATGTTTTTCTGAAAATTCTACACAGGTATTAATCCGTAGCTGTTATTGGTCGCTCGTATCCACATTTTCTCTCTTGGAATGTGTGCTAAAGTTTCAAAACGTGATGTACACAAGTAAAAGAAGGCATCATAAATTTCTTTATGTCCTATAAAAATGATTTATAGATATTTGCACAAGGCTCTGCAAAGATTAGTACGTTAGACAGGTATGAGATTTCGAAAAAAGATTACACATGCAATACATACAATACATAGCAGTACGTTGTGATTGTTTGCGTCAGCCTGGCACCAGTTGCAGCATCTCTAAAATCAGTGTTGAAAACATATGTACTAAACCCACAGGAAAATATCAACATGTCAACATTATAATTATACAAACTCAAATTCAATAACATGAGGACAAAAGATAGATTTACATGACGACTCCTGAAAAAAGTGTTTTGAAAGTGTCATTCATTCACTTATACGTTTCAAATGTGTTATCAATTCACTTGCATCTTTTAAATGTGTCTTCAATTCGCGTGTATCTCTTTCGATTGCGTCAGCAACTTCTGTGTACCAGTCTAATTTGTGATCAATGTCGTTCAAATGTGTCATCATTTCGTGTGTATCTTTTAAATGTGCCATCCATTCCTGCTGAAGTGTCAAATATGTGATCGATTCATATTTATAGTAAATTGTGATATATAGAACTCTGATGTGTAACACTTCTTATAATCTAGACACACTTCCTCTGTCATAATTCAGTACCTATCTGTTATTGTGTCAAATAGGGCCTGTCATCAGGTGCTATTTAATTCATTTCAAATAACATGCACACACCATTTACAGATTCGAATAAAGTTTATTCTTACTTCCAATGCATGCATAGGAGCATTATATACAAACTAGATCTATTTATATAGTTTTTCAAACTATTTTATTTAAGTGTAAATAGGTATATAGCTCCAAAGAGACTTTAAAGGGAATGCTCATGGGAACATGGGGGAATTTTATTTGTTAATAAAATACATAGTCGACCTAATCCTAAATGAATTCATGCACTTCTTCATGTTTCTTTATTTGTACAAAATGAACTATTTCACACTTAGACAATAAATAACACAATTACAGTGTAGTTAGCTTTGTGTTATGAAATTTGATCTCGATAGACAATATAACGATTTGAAAAGCAAGTCTTTCTTCAAAATATCCCAGCATTGGTAATAGAGGTGAATATGGCTCTTGAACTTTTGTAAACATCTTTGCATGTAAGGTAATAGCTACTTGTATCATACAGCTAAAGAATGGACTGCCACTCGATTCACGTAGGTACATAATAGGAATAGGTAATGAGGTAGCTGTACTATAACTCATACCTGGATTACAGGTGTTAAGTCCCCTCAATATTGTACTTACTCATTCACTCACAAAAGAAAGTAAACACAGGGACTGTCACTGGCGGAATTTGAACATAAATCCAGGTTATGCATGAATAATAGAAAAATGGATATTTAGTCTGTATTTATTTCTCAAATAGAAAATAGACGCCCGATATCTTCTGACATAGTTATGAACATTTCTGCACCAATTTGCTGTTATTTATGCATATATATATAAAATGAACGTAGTAATTATTTCAGAATATTGTTTTTATCTAGCAAAACCAACCAGGAAGAACCTTGGATCATTTAAAGTCATGGTTTACTTTTTTGTTTTTTCTTCAATTGATATATCATTTATTTCAACCAGTTTTTTTTTATTATTATTATTTTCTCAGTCGCAGCCTAACACTTAAGACATCTAGCATCATTTTCAGAGTCCTAGATGGACGAAACGTTTGGATGTAGTTTATCTGATTGTGAATTGGTATTGAACGTGTTATTCACCTGTGTATATTTTGTACAATCTTTCTTATAATGTAACAACTAAAGAGTTCAGGATTTTCACTGAACTGTTTAGTATATACTGGTATATTAAAATTAAACCCAATGTGTCAATTATATATGACATACATCATTCATTAATTCGTTTCAAATCCATGATCTATTTATTATCTATTGTCACATATGGTGCAATTTATAATGTTAACTGATAAATGTCAATAAGTGTTCGATATAAACAATACATCCTATTTATAGGCAGTATGTATACATTAATCAATCATTTCGATCTGATTACAATGCATATACTGTGTTTTGTTGAATAAACTGTTACAGTTAAATTGAAATTGATGTATGTCATCTTTTTCGAGCAATATTCATATGTACGATAATAAAAGTTTGTCATGATAATGTCTCAGATTAAATGAAAATTCAAAATGTGTATGAAAGTGTGCTCATTCGCGTGTAATTTATATATATGCTACTCTTACAAGGACCTACAGGTGTTAAAATGTATTTTTTTGTTCTATTTATAGCGATGAAATGACGTTTTTTTATCGATTTTTGATGATAAAAATATCAGTTCGAGCATTCAGCGCTGCACACCTCAAAATAAATCAAATTTTTTTTAAGGTGCTCGGAACGAATCTGCATACAGCAATGTTAATTTTTAGAATCTGATAAATGTATATATATATATATCATCCCACTGTAGATATACGAAATATGACATATGTATCATACATCATATTTACTCGAAAAACTGATGACATCCAACTGGAAGGCTACAAATAATTATATCAACAACTACGGAAAATGTTTGCATATATCTAATGTTTCTGACGGTTGGATGAAAATGATGGAGAATTTTGACGGTCGTCGTAATGAAAAACATATTTCCTTATGTATTCGGAAGTTAAACGCGTTTGATGCTTGTTGGAATATATGCTCCTTTCATTGTTGTTTTCCTTGTTCTCCTTTGAGAACGTGACATAACATACTTGAATTGACAAAGAAGAAGAAGATGTTAAACCCTTCTGGAACACCTGGTCTTATTCTCCTTGTACTTTTTCCACGAGTCTCTGTTTGCATATTTCTTTTGTTCATATTTTACCATAGCTTATTTAATTTTATGATTCTGTTGGTTTTCGTTTTTGTTTTTGCTTCAGTAAGCTTTATTTGCAAACCAAACTTCAAACACAGTTTATGAATATAACATGGGTTGTCTTGTACCCAGAAGCGTAAGAAAGTATGAAACCTTCAAAGTCAAATTACTTACGCTCTTATAGCAACCCTTGTTATACCATGTTAAAAGGTGTGATCTTGTAGATAATATGTTCTGTCTGACATATCTAAAAATCAGTTATTATAGCTCTATAACATTTATTTTTTATCTCTCCATTCGTTATAATGAATTTATAGTGGAGACAACTGAAGTATTTTCAGTCCTCGTACTGTACGCATGGTCTCTTCATTTAACTAAGATTTTCGTAGAACTGAAATTTTCACGAAATCTTTCCCTTTTGATTTCATTTTCAAGCGTTTTATCTTCTTTTTTCTTGATTTAACAGAACCCCGCGAAAATAAAAATACTCCCACAGTAAGCAAGTTTACCTATTATTTAACATTAAAAAGTCAGTATATAGATCAAGATAAATTGATCCCATGTGTTATCGAGATTTTTATATTCATTAAAGGTATTTCAAAATACATTCTTTGATGTCCCTTTTCAGAGTTGAATATATAAGGCGACACTACTTTTAACATGGCGGGGGAAGTAGAATAGCCATTATCCTATAGAAATCGCTTTATAATGCTCTCTATTGACAAACGTGTTTTGCAGTATGATGTACAGTCATCAATAATTGACTTTGAATTCGTTTGAGAATAATCAAAAATCATTCCCGGTTGATATCTTATTTTTTCAAAGAAATGCAAAAATGACGTAAAACTTTACATATATTGTTCCTATACTGCTGCCTTATTTAACCAAATTAGTTATAACAAGGCGTATTGGAATGGCTATTTGGTCATAATCAACCATGAACTCGTTGTTTAGCCCTTTTTTCTGGTACTAGTAAGGGTATTCTCTTAACTTGTGAGAAATGTAATTTGAAATCAATATTTCCATATCTTAGACAATTTCTGAAATATACGCTTTATTGGGTCATTGCGAGTTCAACACATGATTCAGTGATATTAACAGCAACTATTTTAAACCTGTTTTAGTGCAGATTGATGTTGTCATGTCTTTTATTTTGGATAGAAGTCTTATCCGTTCTC